CTCTCTCTCTCTCTCTCTCTCTCTCTCTCTCTCTCTGTGCTGCGAGGTACTGCAGCCGCGCTACGCTAGCGCTGAAGCCCTACCGCTATCGTCCACTACTACTAATACGAAGAGCACTAGCAAATGCCTGAAGAATGCCCACCTCCTCCTAGGCGGACCAGCTCAACATAGCGCTGGTCCGACTGGGAGGCTGCTCTCACCAGTGCGCAAGTATCTGGCGCCCAAACCCTGGCGCCTAACTTGGCGCCCAAATTCAAACTCGTTTTGAATTTTGGGAAGGGCCTCAATGGCCTAGCGTCTACGGGACCTCTACCCAAAGTCTGGCGCCAAAATGTGTGCCAGGGCCTTCTCAAAAACAGGGCCTACAGACCTACGGACCTACGGGCCCTAAACTGGGCCAAGACTACACACGGCCTAACTGAGCCTACTACACCCTAGTCCTACCTGGCCGGGCCCGGTAGGGCACGTGTGGTACAGTGTATGCCACAGAGAGAGAGAGAGAGAGAGAGAGAGAGAGAGAGAGAGAGAGAGAGAGAAGAACAGCCACGCCCAAAATGAAGGCCCAGGCCCAGTATAATTGAAAAAACGCTGTCCGGAAGCTTCAAGCCACAGGCCCACTTCTCGATGACTCCACCGCGGCCCGCAGTTGACAAAAGAATTGGGGGACGATGCTGAGGGACATTCTGGACTTCAGAGACAGCAGACCGCACAGCACTAAAATTAGCACCGGAGTGCGGTAGCACCTTGCCAGCACGGATTATCGGTTCTGCCAGTGGCAGCCATAGCTGTGCTGGACGTAACTTGGGGCGTGCAGGTATTGGGAAGACGATAGAGATGGGAGGACAGCGATGAGCGACGGACTTACCCATCGATAGGTGAAGAGCACCTGGCAGTGGGTGAAGAGCACACTGGGTGTGGTCAGACTCTGCCATATTGTGAGGAAGAGGGAGATGTGGACAGAGAGAAGACCAAAGAGAAGTGAGAGAGAGATAAGATGCAGGGTAGCATATAGACTCGTTATAGAGTAAGCAGGGAAGTAGTGCAGGTGGCCACATCAGAGAATAACAATAAACTGCTTTGCTGCCTTTACAGCCTTTGCTGCTGGAAAATTATGTTCTCATCATCGAGTCCCTCGCGGGGAAAAAATTGCTTTCTTTGGATACTATTTGTTCTTATGCATGTTTTCGATTTCTGCTGTGCCCCAATAGTTTTCAGGGAACTGCACAGTGGCACGATAGCACATAAGATAATTTCAAGCTTTCGAAAAATGCTGAAGCACAAGATGTAGGTGCTCTCTAAAGCAGAGAATCCGTCAAAGCTATAAAAAAACTGCCATTTAGGAGCCCATGGAAGAGACTGGAGACAGAGACCAACATCCAGAAATATTAATCAGATTTGAAGAGAAAAATCGGCTTGTACCTCTCTTGGTTACGAAGTGATGCGGGAGAACGTATAATGATTCTCATCTACTTCTGTCATGGACTGTATGTGAGGTCCAGAGTTAGAAATGTAGCAACACCAGTTCATTCACCTTGATTACGACCACCGTTGAGACACTGCTGCCACTGCAGAGAGAAATGAGAACATAAGAAAGAGAGAACAAGGGGAGGAGAGTGAAAGAGGAACAACTGCTCTGATGCTCTCCCCAGCACAAGTGGTTAACTGGTCCCCCCAGTCTTCAGCACCACCGCCTCCCTCCCAATAGAATGCATGGTCGTTATACGGATATTTAGGACAACTCCCAGGCCAGAATCCCACCGCCAGACAGGAATACAATGCGGTCTATTCAGGGGAAGGCTCAGGTGTTACTTAAAAAAAGACCGAGTTCACATTTGTCATTCAGTATATTGGTATTTCTTTTCTCCTCCCAACCAGGAGGATTTTGTTGCTGTGTCTGATCTGGTTTCAGACTGGGGTCCAAATTTGTCACTCAATGAAAGACCTGAAGATTCCATGGAGGACCACAAATACAAATCTGACTTTTGAATGCAGAAGGGTCCAGGTCCATTCTTTTTCGGTTCCTTGTTGTTTTGATTTTCCGACTACCTGCCAGTTAAGAACGTTCTCACACTACAGTCTTCCCCCGAGCAAAATGCACGTATGTACTATTCAACTTTCCCTCAAAAAGTCGATTTTTTGAAGTCGCCTCCTGAAATCCAAACACTACACATGTTGAAATAGTAAGCACGCACGTTCTATTCAAATAGTACGCACATTTGCTCTATTCGAACAGAAGTTCTATTCAAATAGTACGCACGTTTGCTCTATTCAAACAGACGGGTGTTCTATTCAAATAGAACACATGCATGCCTGCCTGCAGTGTCACGCTTGTTTCCAGGTGCATGCCCTGCAGTATTCCCCCTCTCTCTCTCTCTCTCTCTCTCTCTCTCTCTCTCTCTCTCTCTCTCTCTCTCTCTCTCTCTCTCTCTCTCTCTCTCTCTATCTATCTATCTATCTATCTATCTATCTATCTATCTCTCTCTGTGTGTGTGCGTGTGTGTGTGTGTGTGTGTGTGTGTGTGCGCGTCTTACCTGAAGGTCCTGTTTGCGGGAAGACTGGAGCTCTCTCTCTCTCTCTCTCTCTCTCTCTCTCTCTCTCTCTCTCTCTCTCTCTCTCTCTCTCCTGACGGTCCTGTTTGTGGGAAGACTAGAGATACTTGTACGAGGCACATACTTCTTTTTTTTTGGGTGGGTGGGTGGGGGGGGGGGGCATTTTCGGAAGTTGATACCCTATATTCGTAGCATAACGCACATGCATTGTATAACAAATACAATGCACCCTGTGCATTCAATTTGTAAATAACGCATGTGCGTTTTGTTCGGGGGAAGACTGTAGGACTTCCTCGATTGAATCTGGTCGTTTCTGCAGCCAGATACTTCCAGGTCCCAGGGAAGTCCTTTACATCCTGAGTGTTGGGTAGACAACATTTACGATCTTCACTTCAGTGGGGCACCCAAAAACGGTTACGGAATATTTGATGGGTTGGTTAACCACCTCTCTTTCCTAGTAACTGGTCTCACCTCGGCGAGCTCCTTCGCAGTTGCCGACGACCCTCGTCCACATCCACTCAACGTCGCTCGCCTCCCATCTGATGTGCCAGAGAGATCTGCATGCCCGATGGGTAAAACGATTGTAACAGAGAGAGAGAGAGAGTCAAAAAGGGAGATGGCAAATATCCACTGACAAGGGCTTACCAGCCTATATTGGTTTATCCCCCTGAGGGGCTAAGGTGATTGTCAGTTTAATGCCCTTTGGGAGTCTAGGACTTGTTCCACCACTCGCCGCATGTGAAAATTAGAAAGTGTAAAATATGTGCCCATTTTGGCATTTGGTGAGAGGTAGAACAATTCGTATAGGTGCCTTTCTGTAATGGTTTAGGCACATAAAAGTCCAAGAACATGCTAGACTTACAGCTACAGAATCATCCGGCAAAACTACCATCAGAAAAAAAATGCTTTATCCAAAATTGCTTCCTTTCTCTCCCTGATTTCACATTCAGCTACAACCGAAGATTTATGATTACATTTTGTCAAGTTGTTAACTGTTCATGTTTTGTTTGTTTCATCAATATGTTTTTTTTCTTTTCTTTTCTTATTTTTTTTTCTTTTTTCTTTTTTAAGGCTAATTCTTTAGCCCAACCAGTTCAATTACCTTTCGAATCTGGACAGGAAGGCCTTTCAGGCCTTTTTTATTGTCATTATAGTATTACGGGGAACCCATAGCAGCCACATCTGTGCTCAAGCCTCCAACGAGGGAAAATGCAGGTGCGATACCTGCTACAGCAGGTGGGGGATACCGACCAGGGGTCAGCCGGTAGCATCAGGACCAAGCTTCTTCGATGGGCCAGTCACTGCGCCTCCCCTCCGGTCATGACCACATTAATAGAATAAAAAGTCCAAATTTCCAAAATGTATTTCAGTAGAAAACTGTATAAACTTACTATAAAGTACTATAAACCATGTTTTTCTTTTCTCTTTTTCTCAGTCTTAATAGCAGCTTTTTTAAGTCCTCCGAACATCTGGTTTCAAGTTTTGGGTGTTTTACCTATTTATGGTGTGATAGAATTAGTGAAACGGTATTCACCAATTCGTGGTAGCTGAGGCAGATCCCAGGGCTTGATCCCTAGTTCCCCAACTT